GTTTTGTGTTTTTCAATTCTCTCTGTTTATACAGAGGGAAAATGTTGAGATACTAGATACCTTTTTGTTAATAGTGTTTACCTGTAAGAAGTAGGACTAAGAAAGGGACTTAATATATTTTTGTATTGTTTGAAAGTTTTATAAGTATTTTTTTATTGTTCAGTTACATTTGTCCCGCCTTTTTCCCCATTGCTCTTTCCTACCTTGTCCTCCTGAACCCCACAGTCAGCACTGCCCCCCATTGTCCATGCTAAGTATTTCTTTTTTAAACAGCTTTTTTTGCAATATACACATACCATCCAGTTCACTTATTTAAAGGGTGCCATTCAGTGGCTTTAGACATACTCAGAGTTGTGCATCCATCAGCACAATCAATTTTTAACCCAAAGGGCATTTTCATTACCCCAAGGAGAAATTCTGCACTCCTTTGCTATACCCACCCAGCCATCAATCTCCTCGACTCAGCCCTAGGTAACCACTAATCTCCTTTCTGTCTTTATGGATTCACCTCTTCTGGATGTTTCATATAAATGGCATCATATAATATGTGGTTTTTGGTATCTGGGTCCTTTCGCTTAGCATAGTGTTTTCAAGGTTCATTCATGTTGAAGTATCAATACTTTATTCTTTTTCATAGCTGAAGAAATATATTGTATGGATATACCACATTTTATCTCTCTTACTCATCTGTTGATAGACATTTGGGTTACTTCTACTTTTTAGCTATTAAGAGTAATGCTGCTCTGAACATTAATGTAAAAGTTTTTGTGTGAACATAAGTTTAAATTTCTCCTTTGTGTATAATCAGGAGTGGAATTGCTAAGTCATGCAGTAACTTTGTGTTTAAACATTTGGGGAACTACCAAACTTTTCCAAAGTAGCAGTGCCATATTATGTTCCCACCAGTAATGTCATGGGGGGGCGTGGGTTCCAGTCTCTGTCCTCATGCTGGTTATTGTATCTTCATGATTATAACTATCCTGGTGGGTATGATAAAGCAACTCATTGTGGTCTTGATGGCATTTGCTGGGTGGCTAATGATATTGTGCATCTTTTCATGTGCTTATTGGAAATTTATATATGTTCTTTGGAAAGCTTTGTATTCCAATCTCTTGCCTATTTTTAAATTATCCTTTATTTTGTTGATGTCCAGCTTATTTTTTATTGTTGCTTATACTTTTGATATTACAGCTAAACCACTGTTTAAGATCACAAAGATATACACCTATGTTTTTTCCTAAGAGTTCTATAATTTTAGCTCTTATATATTTAGGTCTTTAATCCCTTTTTAGTTATTTTTTTTTCATATAGTGAGAGTTACAGGTTCAACTTCTTTCTTTTGAATGTGCTGATCCAGGGTCCAAGGACCATTTGCTGAATATAACAAGCATTTCTTATTTTTGCAGTTTTTAAAGTGTAAAGTGAAAGACTGAAATGGTAATTGCTAGAATGGCAAAGGAAAGTTATTTTTCTTTGTAGTGGGTAACAGAAACTATTACTTGGGTGTTTTATAGAGGAAGATATTCTTGAGCTTTGTTAAGAGTTACTTTGATGCCAAGATTTGGCACAAAGTGGAGAGTGAGTTATTGAAAGATGCAAACAGTGTTGGGTGCTAAAGTCAGTAACATCTGTTTCTGATACACGTTACTGTAAGAGGCTAGTGCTAGTGAGTGGACGTGCGTGGACGTGGTAAGACATGGCAATGTGGAATTAACAGATGATAAAAAGACTACAACTGCAACGATTTCTTCAGCAAACAGTAGTTACCCTCCTCAACCTAGAAAAGGATTTTTAAGGAAGATAAATTGTTTCTTGTTGTTGGCCCTGTAGTGCAGTTTGATTTTCATGGTAAAAGTAACTTACTTTAAAAATACATATACACATATATATGTGCTCATATTACCTCCCATAAGTATATGAGTAGAAAAAAACTCAGTTCAGTGAAATGAAAACTTATCTTAAAATCTATAATAGATAAAAATTGTTTGAAATCACAACACTAACCCTTACTAAAAGCAAAGTGTAGTCAATAGAAGAAATTATGAAATGCAAATCAAATGTGTAATGTTATCAATTATGTACCAAAATGGAAAGCTAGTTTTGAGAAGTTATTTAGAACCTTGCTATTTTAAAAACTGAAGGTGCATCCCTAGTCATGAATAATTGCTACTGTTTAATTGCGAGGGGAAAAAAATTAGACGATTATAACAGCTGCATTTCACAATATTCCGTACATATATACAAAAGACAAAGATTTGCTTGTGCTCCAAAAGAGGACAACATTAGAAAACTCATTTCTGTCTTGAATAATTGAGTACCTGCTACTTAAGAAGAAACTCCCTAATCATTGTGGCACTGACAGCAAACAATTGCCTTACCAGTGAAAAAAGTGCATTGATATAACAGCTAAAAAATAGATGTGGTTCTTAATGTTTCATAAAAGTCTTAATCCTGGCAATTATTATAGTTGCCTTTCTGACAACTTCTCAGCACAGTTTGAGAAAATGTTACTTTCTATTTAAAAAATGATTTTACTGAAATCAGTTCATGAAAAAGAATCCTAATATATTTTCCTCAGTAATGGATATGAGAAATGTAAATTTTACAGCAATATTATTTGTCCTGGTTCAATTTTAATAGCATGTCATGTTATTTTCATGTTATAATTAGTTAAAAAACCAAAAAACTTCCTCCTCCTCCCTCTCCCCCACAACCACCAAAAAAGAAAAAAAGCTCTAACCTAGTCTGGAATGGGATGGTAAAGAGCTAGGGAAGAAGAGATGAATAAAGTGATAATCCAAAGGCTTCACTTTGTAAAGTGAAAAAGAAAAGTATTCTGGGCAAAGGGAGGAGCATGTGCACTAGCCTTAAGTGGCTAGTGGACTGGGCTAGAGGAACCCTATTTGAAGTGTTGCTGGGGCACCGGGAGAGAGGCAGAACATAGTGGCAGAGGCCATAGGGGAGCCCAGGGAGCAGCCAGAGAGCCTGAAGGGATACCTGGAGAGTGAGGGAGGAGGAGAGTTTTAAAATGGATGAACAGTGGTATATGTTACTGAAAGAGCACATACAACGAGAATTAGAAAATCTTGTAAGATTTAGTAGCACAGTAGGGTTACGGGTAACATTAACAAAAGTTTTGATGGAATAGATTGAGAACTGAGTCTTATGGAAAAGGTGACCTTGAAGAGGGAGGAGAAAGGTTGGTAGCTGGAGGGAAATGGAGATTTGAGAAAACTTTTACATTTTTGTTTATCTAATGGGAGAGACTTAAGCTCAGTTAAAAGCTGTGGGAGAAATTTTTGAGATGGGAAGTTGATTATATAATAGAGAGAAGGGCTAATCGATGATTTATGGTTCCTAAAATGTCAGGAGATAATAGAATCTAAGGCAGAGGTTTAGCCTTAGATAGTGGAGAGAGATCTCTTTGACCAGGAATGAAGGAACTAGAATGAACTAAAAGGAACGGGGTAGATGCAAATGTAGGTAGATAATATGGTTTTCATTTTCTCTGTGAGGGAGGAGATACGTTATCTACTGAATGAAGGGAGAGGCAGAGGTGGCTTGGGGTTCAAGTACAGGAGGAAATAAGGGCCCATTTGAGGTTGGTGTTCATTTATTTCTAGTGGTACATGTCCACTCTGTTTCACGACTTTCTTCAATAGGGTTTTGTGACACAGCTTTAAGTTTGGAGGAAAAAAAATTCATTCAGGATTGTGTTTTTGCCAGTTAGTTGAATTGAGGCTTTTAGGAAGGATGTTGTTAAAATGGTGGATCATGGAATCAAAGTTTGATGAGAGGAGAGGTGAAAAAAGAAAAATGCTGATAGACTGGGAAAAAGCATATGTAAAGGAGATATTTGAATTTCAGAGGATGTCTTTATTTTATTGAGCTATGACTTCCATACTATAAAATTGACCCTATTAAAGTGCTCAATTCAGTGGTTTTTAGTCTTTTTAGTTGTACAGCCTTCATCTAATTCCAGAACATTTTCATCACCCCCAAAAAGAAATCCTGTACCCATTAGGAGTGTTTCCCCATTCCTCTTCCCCTGCAACACTAATCTACTTTATGTAGCTATTGATTTGTTTATTTCGGGCATTTCATGTAAATGTAATCATAATATGTGGTCTGTTGTATCTGGCTTATCTTACTTAATGTTTTCAAGGTTCATGCATGTTAACAACTTCAGTACTTTATTTCTTTCCATGGCATAATAATCCAAAACCCAGATATATCGCATTTTATGTATCTCTTCATGAGTTGTTGGACATTTGGATTATTTTTCACTTTTTGGCCATTAGTAATGCTGCTGTGAACATTTGTGTTACAAGTTTTTATAATTTCTCTTGCGTATATACCGAGGAGTGGAATTGCAGGGTCTGAAGGTGACTGTTTAACAACTTGAATTGTCAAACTGTTTTCCTAGGTGGCTGCACCATTTTACAATTCTACCGGCAATGTATGAGGGTTCCAATTTCTTCACATCTTTGCTGACACTTGTCATTGTCCATCTTTTTTTATTATAACCATCTTACTGGGTGTGTCTGGGTACTTATAAAAAAACTTATGCAAGTAATACATGAGTATTTTTTCTATATTAGCATTATATAAATCAAGCCCAAAACCCTATGACCTACACTCCAGTCAATTCCTATACCTGACCTAGAAGGAACAATTATTTTAAGTTTGGTATGGATTTTTCCAGAATAAAAGAAAAAAAATTTCACTGTAGATAGAGCTATATAGCTTTCTTACATTAACCCAATTATTTTCATAGGAACTATAATAAATGAGATTATTTTTTCCTTTCTAACCTCTAACTGTAAAATACACCATCTTTTTGAAATTTCAACATTCATTAGTAGAAAGCATATTAGACAGACAAATCAACTAAATGCCTAAAGGCTTATCATCCCATATAATAGCTTTTTAAATGACAGCTATTACATTCATGTATTGAAACATTATCAGTAAAACTAATATTTTCTTCTTGTTCTTAGCGCCTGGCTCTCTGGTTATGAAAACCCTGTGGTGTCTCGAATTAATATGAGAATACAAGACCTAACAGGATTAGATGTTTCCACAGCAGAGGAATTACAGGTGGGTAATTATATTATCCTTGAATTACATGCTATCACATTATCCTTAAGTTATTTTTACACTTCTTCAAAAGATGCCTCAGATGAGATTTCCTGATACTACACAGGCAGCACTCAATTTGCAGGATAGATTGAGGCTGTAAGAGTGAATGATCAAGCTGAACCCATGCAAAGCTGATTTTAATAATCAGTGAGAAAAGTATAATTGTTCTGTGTTAAAATTTATCAAAACATTAAAAACTCTTACTGTTGAGTGTAAATTTATAGGGAAATAAAAAATATGTAATGCTAATATTTATTAAGTACACTGTAATTTTTTTTTCTTTTTTTCTTTTTATTTCTTTTTTTCAGTGTTAAATCTGTCTGCATGCTCGTTCTTTTCCTTTTTATTCCTAGGCCTGTCAGGTAACCAGGGCAGTTTTGTTTTGTTTTTTTAAGAAAGTTATTTTTTTCTCTTTTCTATTGAGATATTATTCATATACCATAAAATTTACCCTGGTTTTATTATATTCCCATGGTTGTGCAAGCACCAATACTATCTAATTCCAGAACATTTTCATCACCCCAGGAAGAAACCTCATATACTTAAAGAACAGGCGTATCTTGCAGATTTGTGGTTCTGGTTTCAGAACACAGCATAAGACAAATATCACAATAAAGTGGCCTCACACCAATTTTTTGGCTTCCCAGTGCATATAAAAGTTATGCTTACACTCTATTGTAGTCTGATGAATGTGCAGTAGTATTATGTCTAAAAAAGCAGTATACATTCCGTAATTGAAATACTTTATTTCTAGAAAATGCTAACGCATCTGAGCCTTCATCAGTCATTTTGCTGATTGTTGGAGGGTCTTGCCTCAATGTCAGTGGCTGCTAAGCTGATCGAGGTGGTGGTTGCTGTAGCAGTTTCTGAATACAACAACAATGAAGTTTGCCACATTATAGAGTCTTCCTTTAATGAATAATTTCTCTGTAGCATGCCATGTTGTTTGATAGCATTTTAACCATTGTAGAACTTCTTTCAAAATTGGAGTCAGTCCTCTCAGATCCTGCCTCTGCTTGATCAATTAAGTGTATGTAATATTCTAAATCCTTTGTTGTCATTTGAACAATCGTCACAGCATCTTTACTAGGAGTGCATTCCATCTCAAGGAACCACTTTCTTTGTTCATCCTTAAGGAGCAACTCCTAAGATCTCAGTATTGTGTTATCATCAGATTGTAGCAATTTAGTCACATCTTCAAATGCTACTAATTCAAGTTCTCATGCTTTGTCCTCCACATCTGCAGTAACTTCCTCCCCTGAAGTTTTGTATGCCTCAAAGTCATCCATGAGGGTTGCAATCAGTTTCTTCTAAACTGCTGTTAATGTTGCTCTTTTGACCTCTTCCAATGAATCCCAAATGTTCTTTTTTCCCTCAACTTAGTTATTTTTTTTAAATCCTCACCCAAGGCCATGTTTATTGATTTTAGCGAGAGATGAAGGGATGGAGAGTGAGAGGGAGAGAGAGAAACATCAATCAGTTGCCTCTCGTAAGCACCCTGACTAGGGTTCGAATCTGCAACCTGGATATGTGCCCTGACTGGGGATCAAACCCACATCCTTTTAGTGTATGGGATGACACTCCAACCAACTGAGCCAGCCAGCCAGGGCACCTCCATATACTTTTATAAAAACTTTTTAAAAAATAATTTTGTGTTTTTTAATTACAGTTTATGCACAGAATTGTATTAGCTTCAGGTGTACAACCCAGTGATTAGACACTTATATAATTTATGAAGTGATCGTCTTGATGTATCTAGTACCCATCTGACACCATACATACTATATTATTGGCTGTGTTTCCTATGCTGTTCTGTACATCCCATGACTGTTCTGTAACTACCAATTTGTACTTCTTAATCCTTTCACCTTTTCACTTACATCTCTGATCTCCCTCCCATCTGGCAACCATCAAGATGTTCTCTGTATCTGGGAGTCTTTTTTCTGTTCTGCTTCTTTATCTTCTTTTTTTAGATTCCACATTTCAATGAAATGATACGGCTGTTGTCTTTCTCTGTCTGACTTATTTCACTCAGCACAATTCCCTCTGGCCCATTCATGTTGTTGCAAAGGCAAGATTTCTTTTATTTATTCTTATTTTTTTTTAATGGCTGAGTCATATTCCATTGTATATATGCACCACTTCTTTATCCAGGCACCTATTGATGGATACTCAGGTTGCTTCCGTATCTTGATTATGGTAAATAATGCTGCAATGAGCATATGAATGATAGATATGTATTTATTACCATTATACTATTCATATTTTTTATTTTTTTCCTTTTTCTTAAAATTTTTAACATTTCTTGTAATACTGGTTTGGCAGTGATGAACTCCTTTGGCTTTTCTGGGAAGCTCTTTATCTGTCCTTCAATTCTAAATGATAGTTTTGCTGGGTTGAGTAATCTTGGTTTTAGGTCCTTGCTTTGTAACACTTTGAATATTTCAGGCCTATTACTTCTCCCCTGGAATGTTTCTGTTGAGAAATCAGCTCACAGTCTTATGGGAGCGCCCTTGTAGGTAACTAACTGCTTTTCTCTTGTGGCTTTGAAGGTTCTCTCTTTGTCTTTAACCTTTGGTATTTTAATTATGACGTGTCTTGGTTTGGGCCTCTTTGGGTTCATCTTGTTTCGGACTTGCTGTGCTTACTGGACTTGTGTGTCTTTTTCCCTCACCAGGTTAAGGAAGCTTTCAGCCACTTTTCTTTGAACAGGTTCTCGATCCCTTGCTGTCTTTCTTCTTCTGATACCACTATGATGTGAATGAATTATGCTCGATGTTATCCTAGAGGTCTCTTAGACTTTTCTTATTTTTTAAAACTTTTTTCTTTTTATTGCTCTGCTTGGGTGATTTCTGTTACCTTGTCCTCTAAATCACTGATTTTGATCCTTTTCTTCATAACCTGCTGTTGATTTTTTCTAATATATTTATTTCAGATACTGTATTATTCAGTTCTGACAGGTTCTTTTTTATGGTTCCTATGTCTTTTTATAATGCTTACTATCTCTTTGTGTTTAAGTTCCCACTGAGATCATCCACTCTTTCCCTAAGGTTCTTGAGCATCCTATAATCATTGTTTTAAACTCTGCATCTGGTATTTTGTTATATCCATTTCATTTAATTATTTTTCTGGGGATTTCACTTGTTTCATTTGGGGCACATTTCTTTGTCTCCCCATCTCGACTGCCTTTTTGTGTTTATGTATTAGGTAGATCTGGTGTGACTTTCAAACTTGTTACAGGGGTTTTATGTTGTAGGTGTCTTGTGGGGCTCAGTGGCTCAGTCTTCCAGATCACCTGAGCTAGGTGCTGCAGGAATGTATTTTGTGTAGGTTATGTGCGCCATCCTATTGTAGTTGAGTCTTGAATGCTGTTGAATTGACCATAAGGATTGACCAAAATCACAGTGGATGAATTGTTGTGCGGGGGCTGTCCCATGAGGCAGAGTTGTTCCCAGCACAGTCTGGCGCATGCTGGAAACTGTCTTTAGATGTGCCACCTGTGTGGCTAGTTGGGTGAACTCCAGTGTGGTCTAAAGTCCACCACTGGTTGTGTTGGTTCTGGGTCCACTTGGGCAGGGTTCCACTGTGGGTTGATGTCAGATGCTGCCTGGGCTACCTGTCTGGAGCTACTACTCAGTGTGCTGTTTGTGGCTGCCTCTCCTGGGCCTGGGTGTGTGTGGGAGGGGACAGATTATATACAGGGGTTGGCTTCCTCTAGCTCTGAGGTGGGGTCAGATCAGTAAAAGGTTCAGGACACCCTAAGGACCACATTCACCTGTCAACCACTTTGACACCCTCTGAGGTTGCCTGGTTCTCCTTGAGAGCCCTCTGAAGAAAGGATGTAGAGTGGACCCTGGCTGGCCGCCACCCACAGACCCAGCCACAAGGCACAAGCTTGATAGGGCAGGGCAACTGGGGTAGGGAGGACAGAGCTAGTGGGTCTCCTGCTTGGGGGCAGCACAGCCAGGCACTTAATGGTGGGAAAATGCCTACTCCAAAGCCATACCACTCAGTCTCTACCAGAGTCTCTAACCTTAGCTCCCCCAAGAGGAGTGCACCACAGGTTCAGGAAAAGGTGCAGCCAGCCAGCCCCTCTGCAGGAGCAAGCTCAGCTGGGTGGAGCCCCCAGGAGTCAGGAGGACTGGTCAAATGAGCCTCCTGATGGGGGAGTGGTGCCAGTTGAGCTTTCAGGGGGCGGGGGTAGGAATGGCCTGCTGTGCCATAGCTGCACAACCCAGTGCCCGTCTTGAGTTCTGGACAAGAGCCTCCCAGGGGCATGTGCTCTGAAGATCCCAGCTCTGAGCAGCACTCTGATCCCCCTGTGGGGCTGAGCTCTGTAGGACAGGGCCACTGGGAGTCAGAATGACAGGCCAAGAGAGTCATCAGGTGGTGGGGGCTGCATCTGAGTGTGCAAGTGGGGGAAGAATGGCCCCCATTTCAAAGCTACACAGCTTAACAACGGAGTCTCCACCAAGAGCTTCTCCAGAAAAAGAGCGCCCCCACAGTCCCCTGTTGGATGCAGCCAGCAGACCTTTCTGCAAGACTAGAGCTTGGCAGGGTGGTGTCACCAGTCCTTGGAGAACTGGGCTAGTGCACTCCCCAGCCGGTGCTTGTAGAATAGGAGTGCCTGACCCTGGGAAGGTGGCACCTGAGGGTGGTATGGAATAGGGACTCAGCATAGGAACCTCAGTGGGTGACCCTACAGATCTCTCCTTGGGACCATGCCCCCAGATCTTCTCTTTATGACTCCCACGTACCCTTAGTCACCTTCCCTCTATCTGAGCCCCAGGTGAGTGTCTAAGGGCAAGATCATATGCATAGGCCTTTTAAGAGAGCACCTGGGTTTCTAGCAAACTCTCTTCTCTTTCAGGCAGACAGAGTCCCAGCTGAGTTTCACAGCTAGGTGTTACGCAAGCTCCTTTGCCCAGTTCTGGTGGTCTGGGTTGGGATCCTGGCATGGGGTTGAAACGTCACGCTACTCAGGTGCGGCTTTTGCAGCCAGGATATTCCTCCAGATTCTCAACAACGACATGTGGTGCAGGGGCCATCCCTTTCTGTGTCTTTGCCCTTTCTACCAGTCTCTGTGTGGCTGCTGCTTCAAATCCTTGATTATAATACTTCTGTGCAGCTCGCCTTCACTTGGTTATTCAGGTTTATTGCTCTGTAATTTAGCTGTAAATCTGGTTTGGTGCTGGGAGGAGGTGAGTGTAGGTTCCATCTACTCTGCAGCCGTCTTCAAAATGCATAGCTATTCATACTGAATAATAGATGTACATGACTAATCACTGATGGACTTTGAAAGAGATGAGGTAATTGGTCATTGATCATGATATGCAACTGCTATTTACATTGTGATCTGTGGACTGAAGACCTAGCAGTGACATTTGTACTTACGCATCACTCAAAATTAATATACCATGGTAACTGAAATTTCAACTGTGTTGTCAGGTCTGGTGTTAATGGCTAGCTAAACCATGTTATCTGAGATTTGTGCATTTTGGAATTGGGCAAAGCAGGACAGCCTATATTTAAATTTGCTTAATTAAGTTGTCATTTATTCCATGGTAATCTGCAAATTCCTTGGTATTCATCTGATTATTAGAAACTATTTGCTATGTCTTTTTTTTCCTGATCTGTATTTATTTTAATCTGCTTAGCCTTCACAGGCTCTTTCAGGCTACTTGATGTATTTCTTTTTAATAGGCTGATCCAACTCAAGGTGTTTATAACATAAGACAAGGTGGCTCGGTTGGAGCACTGTCTGGTACAGGAAAAGACTGTGGGTTCAATTCCCCGTCAGGGCATGTATGGGAGGCAACTGATTGATGATTCTCTCCCACCCTCCCTCTCTTCCTCTTTCTCTAATACCGAGAAACATATTCTCAGTTGAGGATTTTTTTAAAAAGTAGTGAAATATCCAGAGTAATAATAACTTACTTAGAACCCGGAGTTTGCTGTGCGTAATATTCTTTAAATTATGTTTCATTTCATTTCATCAACATTACTTTTTAAATTACATGATTCATTTTTGTCAGCATTTTAACATATTGGGATGGAAGAAGGGAGTAAAAGAAGATGTCATTTTTCTTATTTTACAAGTAAGAAAATTGAGATTATATGCAAAGTTACATATATTGTAACTGAGAAAGCTGGAACTTGAACTCAGACCAAATATTTTTCTTAACTCCTTTTTGCTGCTTCACACTAGGACACTGTCATTACCAACCGAAGTTGTTGGAACCCTCCAGCAGGACCAATAAGTTGCTGTTAACTTCTTCCCTTTTTTTTTTACCTTAGTAGGGAAAAAATATGTGGGAAAGGGATTTTTTAAAAGTATATTTGGAGTTTGCCAGCATTTTGGGCTTTGGAAAATATGCTTTGATTTAAATTCCAAAGGAAAGTGTTTAGTGAAAATTTATCACAGAAATCTCATAATTCTAGTTCTAGAAAATTTTAATTCTAAGATTCTAATTCAAATTTTAGTTTTTTATATATTAGAGAAAAATGTCTCCCAACATTTGCTAAAGAAAAGTCTATTAATGAAGTTTCTCAAATAGCGTATATTAGCTGTCTGTAATTTTTATCTGTGGTTACTTAGGAACTCTCATTGATTTAAAGTGTTTTGATTCTCACCCTGGCTGGGTGGCTCAGTTGGTTGGAGCATTATCTTGTACACTAAAAGGTTGTGGATTCAACCTGTCAGGGCACATAACTAGGTTGTGGGTTCAATCCCTGGTCGGGTGCGTATGGGAGGCAATTAATTGATGTTTCTCCTCCCCACCCCCACTGTATCCTTCCTCCCTCCTTCTTCCTCTCTGCCTTCCTCTCTGTGAACATATCCTAAGGTGAGGCTAAAGTAAAGTGAGTTGCTTCTCATTTCTCTAGAAGTACCTAGCCATGATAATGTAAGAGGCCAAAATGGGGCTCATAGATTTTTTGAATAGTAATCTTGGTAGTTTTCATTCATGCTTTGTTTCTTTCCTTCAGGTAGCAAATTATGGAGTGGGAGGACAGTATGAACCCCATTTTGATTTTGCACGGGTAAGTAAAAGCAATAGAAATTCTGTTCTTTAGTGTTAAAAATTCATAGCCTATTTGTAATTCATGGAAGCATGTGTGAAATAAATACTCTGTAAGGCCGTTTTAGCAGTAAAACAAAAAGAACAAAACAAACAAACAACCCAAACACCTAGATACACAGGAAAAGTATTTAGAATGCTTTTAAATGTATAGTTGAACCGGAAAGAAAGTAGAGGAAATTCCCAAAAGCAAACTGAACAAAGAAAACCTAGAGACTACAATTGGGGTGTTAACGGGACAAAAACACTGAGGCTGGAGGCATATATTCCAGAAATCTAAAGTTTTGGAGATTAACAGCTCTATGAAAGGATCTGCCATAGTGTAGGTTATTGAACCTGAGACTCCTGCATAAAACCTCAATCTCCAAAAGGATTATACTTTCCTAGAAAGACAGAATGGCCTTTAAAAAATCTGCGTTCAATCAGGAGCCTTAAGGACAGTCACCTTTCACCATCCTGGCGGGAGTGTGTTGTGCATGGGCAGCTTCTTCTGGGAGTTTGAAGGCCGAGGCCTGCCCTCAACATGGATCTCAGGTTTGAATTTTTACTACCCTGGAAAAGAAGTTAATTTAAAGTTGTTAGCTGAGTAGTGCTCCTTGGTACCTGGCTCCCAGAAGAGAAGCATCGTCATTCTAGAACCTTGAGAATTTTAAAGATTAAGTTCAGCTAAGTATGAACTAATTTTTTAAAAAATTACTAAGTGGTAATAAGACACCATTGGTAAGGCTAAAGCAAACAACAGATTGAGATGTCTCTAGGATGTTACCTACTTGAATCATCAGATGCATAATATAAAATAACTATATAACATGTAAAGAATAAAAGATAGGATAAAATTAATAAACTCAAAATGATTTAACATTTAAAAAATAAATAGGAAGTTCCAGTTGAAAAAAGTCATTGTCGGAATTTAATATTCAGTGGATAAGTTAAAATAGATTAGAGACAGCTGAGGTGAATAAGTGAATTGGTTGATAAAATTGAAGAAATTACAAGAATACATTTTGAGAAACAGGAAGATAAAAAATATAAAATAGATATGAAGAGATTGGAGAATAAATGATATCAAAGCACTTTGCAAAAAAGCTGTTATTGCCCAAGTACTCTTGCTTGCGATTAATAAATATTGGACATTTTTGATTTAACATATTGAGCTATAAAGTATGGAATTACTAAATTTTAATTTACATTTCATTGTAATTACATGAATTTTAAAAAATGGGCCAGGTATTTTAATAAACTTCTTGATCTGTTACCATTTTTAAATAAGGGTATATTCTTTTGAAAGAAAATACAGTCTATATTGTTAGAACTCTTGACTGTCTTAATCTCATAATCTTAGACTATTTTTTTATGTAGGGCAGCAAAGAATATATTTTAGTCTCTTTTTTTCTATTTTTCAATTACTGGAAAATGCCTGAAGGTCTTGGATGATGTGAAAGACTTACAGTTCAAATCTTATCAGTGTAATTTTTATATTACTGTATTAGTGTATTACACTTATATTAGTGTAATTTTTTTCTTAGCTTTTTATTTTGAAATAATTACAGATTCCTAGGAAGTTGCAAAGAAAGAAATATACAGGGCGTTTCATACATACCCCTTCACTCTGCCTCCCCCAGTGTTAGCATCTTACAGATCTCCGGGACACTGTCAGAGCCAGGAACTTGGCACTGGCACAAGCCACAGGGCTGATGCATATTTCAGCAGTTACACTTGCACTGATGTGTGTGTGAAAGGGCCTATGGAGTTTTATTACATATGGAGCTTTGTGTAACTACCATTACAGTCAAGATACATAACCACACCATCACCACAAGACTCCCTTGCAGTACTGCTCTGTAGCTGCACAAACCCTTCTGTCTCCTTTCCCTCACTGTTGGGTACAACTAACCTGTACAACTAACCTGTTGTTCCCTCTAATTGTTACTTCACAAATGTATGAATGTTATATACAGTATGTATTCTTTTGAGATTTTCACTCAGCAAAATTCCCTTAAGGTGTATCCAAATCTCACGAAGTATTGATATTGTGTTCCTTTTTATTGCTGAGTAGTAGTCCATAGTACGAATGTATCACAGGATTTTTTAGTCATCCACCCTCTGACAGACATTAGGGTACTTTCCAGTTGTGGACTATTACAAATAAAGAAGTATGTAAATTTCTGTGTGAAAAATACATTTCATTTTTCTGGGATAAATGCCAAGAGACTACATTATATTTTAATTTAGATTTAAATAGCCAGATTAAAGTGCTGACTGTCCAAAAGAAAGACAATCATAGCCACAGTAAACATTTGAATGAATCATGAATTGAAAGTAAATCTGAAGGTACACTTTTTGCCCATAGAGAACAGACTTAATGAATATAGTTAAAAGACTCTCATGTCTTTTTGTTGTTTTGTTTTGTTTTTGCAGGGGGTGGAGAGCCAAAAATACAGATGTTAGTTTTTTAAAAATAATCTGTGAATAGTAACTGTCAGTTGTCATTATTTACCTTAATAAATCTGGGTTTTTTCCCTCTAGTGGTCTTATCAAAAATAATAAGTATACAAGCTGAACTAACAAATATTTTTGAATGCCTGCTGCATATAGTTCACTGGATACTATAAAGGAACCTTTGGGGGTTGTTTCTGGCATACTCTTCAGCATATTACCGATGTGTAGTTGCCACTGGAGAATTTGCATTACTGAATTTTACTCCATTGAAATAGTTGTGTTTTATTTACAGAAAGATGAGCCAGATGCTTTCAAAGAGCTGGGGACAGGAAATAGAATTGCTACATGGCTGTTTTATGTAAGTTATAGCTAAAATTTTCATTTTAAGTTGGAATTTGATCACATAACTTATTTTTATATGTTCAGATGTTTGCTCTTATTTACCATCCTAAGTAAAGCTTTTACAATTTAGTAAAGGGAGTTAAGAATTTTTTTCAGTTGTACTATTACAACCTGAAGAAGAAAGTTAAGATTACTGATACAGTCATAGTTGATATTTTGTAGTATGGACTGTTTGGTCATCTGTGTATATGTAAACATCTCTGTATGTTTATGTGAATTTACATATTTGCAGTCAGATGATGACTGCAGATATACATTTTTATAGTTTCAAACTTTTATGGATATATCAGAAAAGTATACAAATTATTAAGCATATAATAGTAATAATAATCTGTTATAATCAGCATGCAGATCAGGAAGTAGCACATATAGCACTTAGAAGCCCCTCAAGGAAAACCATTATTACCTTGCTTTCTCTTTACAAAGTTTCAAAATAGTGTGAACTTCCTGTTTTTTTTTAAATTAAGTATATATTCATACATATAGAAAAAAATGAAAATTTGATTATAATCTGCCTTAGTTAACTATTACTGCATACCAAATCACTCCAAAACTGAATGGTTTAAAATAATTTTATTTTTATCGTTCACAACTGTGAGGTCGACTGGGCTTCACTCATGGTTCTCCTGCATCTCTCATGCATTTGCAGTCAGATGATGATTTAGCGGTAGGGGCCGTCTTGAAGGCTGACATGGAGGCTGGCTGTCGGCCAGAATACCTGCAGGTGGCCTGGGCTTCTTCACACGTGGTGACTGTAATGCAAGAGCAAGTATCCCCCTGGAAAATCAAAGCAGAAGTGCAGGGAACTTTCAATACCTATTCTCAGAAGTCAAATAATGTCCCTTCTACTGTATTTTATTAATTGAGGGAATTAAAAAGGTCTGCCAAGGTTCAAGGAGAGGGGACATAGGTCTTACCACTCAGAAGGTCAATCTCATGTAAAAAAGAGCATGTAAGACAGGACATACTGAGTTATAATTGGAAGAGATAATCTCCTGCAATGCTGTAATCTTTGTTAACTTAAAAAGATGTTTTATATCTAAACTTAATTTTGCTTGTTTCCTCACTCTTTCCATCCCCTACCTCTATTCAAATTACATAAAACGGCATCTCTTTTTGCTGTCTGTTGTATCTCACTCCATACTAAAATGTCTCTTCCTTTTCTTTCTTTTCCTTCCCTGTACCCATCCCAGCCTTCTTGCCCTCCTGCTTTCCCTCATCTCTCCCTCCTTCCTGTTCCCATTACTCTCACTTATTTCTAAAAAGATCTAAGATACCATAGGAATGAAAAAAGATTTAAGGTACCAAGAAAAGAGGATTTAGGATTAAAAAGGATTTAAGACTTATAAAATGAATTTAAAATGGGAGCAAATAATGGCAAAGGGAAAACCAAGAGAGAAATTGAGACATTATACAAAATTTATCCTGTGAGTCTTGTACCCTGCGACTCTTTTAGAGATGAACTTTCCATAGATTGTACCAATTTATATCCCACCTTTAAGTGTGATGTATTTGTCAAACTTTTTGACCTTTCACTCATCAGATTGGCAGTTGTGGTTTTAATTTGCATTTCTCTGATTAGAGAGGTTGAGTATCCTTTCAGATATTTTTGGCTGTATTTGTTTCTTCCTGTGTTTCTTTGCTTTTATGAATATAACAATGCTATGTTATTTGGTCCAATTTTTATTTATATTAGATTATGTTAGATTATTATTGAAATATTATACCCTCTTCTAATTACATAGCATTTGATTAGATTAACATTCATTTCATCCCCACTATACAAATACTATTCCTATGTAGGCTGCATAGCACAACTTCTTAATTTCTCTAAAGTTAGTTTGTTTCATTGCTGTTAGTTGTTAAGAGCTGTTAGTGCTTTGTTATTGATTATATATTTGTCATAGTAAAATGCGCTTCTTTATCTCAATGCTTTTTACCTTGATTTAGACTGTGTCTGATATTAAGATCAAACTGTTTTCTTTGGTATAGCATTTTCTGGCAAATCTTTTCTGTTTTCAGTATTTTGTAACTCATGTGTTTTAGATGTGACTCTTGAATATGACACAGTTGGGTTTTGCTTTGTGATACAGTCTTAATCGGTCTATGCTTTCTATTTATGTTGCTTTTGAAAAAAATCTTCCCAATATGATTTCTTTTTCCATGTTTTATGCATGTGCTTCAGTTACTTTGGAGCATTTGTTTGAATTCTAGGTTACCCTTAAGACTATAACTTTAATAATCCTTTAATCTCCTACTTCTCAGTTAATATTTGTTTTTTCTCTACCACAAGAAATGACAAAACTAATTTTAGTTTAATGTTTTCTGTTTTTATTTCTCTTTTGTCTAAATTAATTTACTGAGCTTGAGTACCTACTATTCTTGAGATACTATTCTCGACACTAAAGCTCAGCAATGAACAAAATGGATGAAAATTTCTGCCCCCATGGATGTTATCTCCTAGTGCAATAAAAAAAATACACACACACACACCCCTTATATTACTTAATCTATCAATTTTAAGTCATCCTTTTTACCTTTGGTTATAAGTGAAGCGCCTATCCCAAATTATGTTCCTGTTTCCCTTCCTGCCTTTTATAATTCCTTTGCTTTACATATGTTTTTTTTTCACATAAGTATGTAAACCTAAACAACATCTTTTGTTTTTTAAAAATGTGAGTAGCAGGCACAAACCCATCTATATGAGTAGAATTCCAGATGTGCTCATATTCTAGTATTCAGTTTCATGTCCTCTACCAGAACTTTTGGTTATGTTATGCTCTCTTACCTCTTACAGATGAGTGATGTGTTAGCAGGAGGAGCCACTGTGTTTCCTGAAGTAGGAGCTAGTGTTTGGCCCAAAAAGGTAAACTTGGTTTGTTATTTAAATTCTTTTATGTCTCTTTATTTTTTTTCCCCCATAAGCAAGAGATGCTCCTTTTATTAATGAATTACAATTTTAAAGGTAATATACTTAAGGACTATATTATCTTTAAGTAAAACTATGGGAATTTTTATGGCACAGTTTACCAGGAGCACCTCAAGGTAATGAACCACAAAGGATTAATGTTTACAAGTTTTCATTTCTAAAACGGGTTTCATATGATGTTTCCCTCTCCATCCTGCTATTGTAAGATTTGTTTTGGCGAGTGTCCTTTTTCTGTCAGGCAACTTTGTAGTATTAATGTTTTCATGTGATCACCAAAATTTTGTAAATGATGATCATATTTTCAGAATTATATTAGAGGAAGGAGTACTTTCACAGGAGAAGAGGAAAATTTACTGCAAAAAGTTATAACGTGATATTTTATTTGGAGATAATTTTGTATTCCCCACAGGGAACTGCTGTTTTCTGGTATAATCTATTTGCCAGTGGAGAAGGAGATTATAGCACACGACATGCAGCGTGTCCAGTGTTAGTTGGAAATAAATGGGGTAAATATTTTCTATATTCTCTGAATAGAATTTGTGATTTTTTGTTTCATATTTTAAAATTATCTACATCTTAAAAGGAATTCAAAACAAAACTTTCCACAGATTTGCCTGCTATGATTTTAACATAGAATGAAGATTCAACCAAACAAGTTTTTTTTTTTTTAATTTCCTAATTGATTTGAGAGAGAGAGAGAAGGATCAGTGTGTTGTTGCCTCTCACACACCCCCAGCTGGGGACCTTGGCCCACAACCCAGGCATGTGCCCTGACTGGGAAACACCTATGACTCTTTGGTTCACAAGCTGGCACTCAGCCCACTGAGCCACACCAGCCAGGTGCAAGTTTTTCATCTTAATGTAAATTTGCTTTTAACACATCAGAATTTTGATGATGAATTTTATTTTTAATAATATTTCTACTTGTTCTAAGACTCATTAATTGACAAAGTTAAATAAGATAATATCTTCCCCTTAATGGGTTCACAGTTGTCTCTGAGACACATTAAGGGATAAATTATAGCGTAGTACATACTAATACACAAAGATGAAAATAGAAGATGGCAACTTCTTACATTTGGGAAGACTTCTTCAAAGCTTATTTTTAAATTTGGTTTCGGAGATAGAGGAGTAGTTTTCTAGGGATGTTAGGAACTAAGTCTAGGACTATTATAGGATGAGACAGGCACTCATTGTCAAGGTGATAAAGTATAGAATTTGCCACATTAAAAAAAAGGAAACAGAAACAGGTGCAGTTATTTTAATATGTATTATTTAACCCCATATGTCCATTTTAATATGTGTCACTAGCCACTTTTCAAGTGCCCAATAGCCACATGTGTGTAGTAGCTACCATACTGGACATAGGAAGATTAAGAAGTAACATCTGGTTATCAGGGTTTTTAAAATCTTTACTGATGATTATGTTCGAGAACCACTGGACTAGAATGGAGAGAGGCTAGTGGAGGAGAGATCAGTTTAGAAAGTTTTTTCCATTGTCTGAGTGATGATGAAAGTGTGGACTAAGAAAGCAGTAAAAGGGTTAGACAGCAAAGAATGGATTCAGCAGGTGTGAAGAAAATTGCCCAGGTTTGATGAATAAAAGATTGGATACAGGAATTGAGAAAGGTAAAAGAGTAGTTAAGAATAGTTACTAGGGGTCCCAGTTCAGGTATATCGTACATATTGATGCTATTGATTAGGTTCTATGATACAGAAGAAGGAATAGGAAATTAATTCCTTTGAGGTTACATTAGAAAAGAGTATCTTGGCCTAAGGAAACAATGAACAATAAGAGTAGTGATTGATCACTGAGTTGCTCCTTCAGAATGAAGACTTTGTGTTCATTTTTAAAATGTTTTTGTACTAGAGGTTGTATTTTGCAAACAGGTAAAACAGTGTTCTCTCTCTGTACATACATTTTAATTTCATTTGTGTTTCATTTCAAGCCTTGGACATTAGAAACTTTAGGATATTCACGTACATAGACTCTGAAATGTACAAATATAACATCTAAAATCTGTTTCTCCAACATTTAGCGAAGTACTTAAAAGACTGCCTAAGTAGCATCTGCCTTTATCTAGTTTTGGTCTTGAATTTTTAGTCCATATAAAAACGTTATTAAAGGCCTAGTTCTTACCAGTGAATTAATATATTTTGTTCTCTCACAGTATCCAATAAATGGCTCCATGAACGTGGACAAGAATTTCGAAGACCGTGCACCTTGTCAGAATTGGAATGACAAATAGGCTTCTCTTCCTCTACTTTTGTACTCAGATGTGTCTGATACACACAGTTCCCAGTCTTAACTTTTAAGAGTTTACAATTGACTAACATAGCACTCCATGGTTGATTCAGTTATGAACCTCACCCCAAGTTTCATCTGTGGACAATCACTAACTTTGTGGGGGGTTTTTTTCTTTTAAAATTAACACTAAATCACCACACTATGCATACAAAACCTTGAAGTTCAGTTGATATCACAGAGGACAAAACAAGGCAGACTTAAAAATGAGGAATTTTTACATTTGTTACATTTTAAAGAACTTTTTGGTTAGATAAAAAATATACTTTATGCATCTGATTATAGTATAATCACTACATCTTAGTTGGTGGGTGGTAGGCTAGAATGTCTTATTTTCTGGATCTGCCTGAAGGCTAGGAATAAACTAGGCCTCTAATGTGGGTCCCATGCAATGTTCAGCCCTCCATGTACCTTTCTAAGTGTTTTTTTTCCCTCCCAAGTTCTTTTTAAAGAAAATATACTTTATTTTACCAGTTCCCTTTTTCTTTCATAACTCCTTTGTGGTGAAATAAATGTTTGAGGTAAAATAGTTTGATTTAAAAAAAATTTTAACAGTTCTACATAACGCTGGGGTTCTAAACTAAAATGATCATCACTTGGTCTGTTTCTTCATCCTTTTTCTTAAATGACTGATGATTTTGTCCATAAAATTTTATTAGTGCTAATACCTTGCCTCATTCTTGCTACAGCAGGGTGATGATACTGGCATTCTAATTAAATAAATATCGTGCCTTAGGAGACTGGAAATTTAAAAATGTACAAGTCCTTTCAATGATGAGGGAATTGATTTTTTTAAGAAGAAGAAATCTTTTTCCTAAAAAGCCAAAATGTTTGTTTTTTCAATTCTGAAATGTGTTGTGATAACAATGACCTATTTATGATCTTAAATCTTTTTAAAAAATGTTTCTGTTTTCTGTGTGGTATTTTTCATGTTTGAATGTGAATGCATGCTATAGCAATAACAGGTTATTTCTATGTATATTACGATTTATCCTCTTGGTTTTCATTTATTATCTCATTTTTATGAAAAAAATTTAGGCTCTCTGAATTCTCAGCTATTTAGTCAATCAATCAAAATATATTTCATTCAAAGGGAGCTCTACAACACTCCTCTATAGTTATGGGGTTATTAAAATAAGATTTTCAAAAATATTAAAAAGTATGGTGTGGTAGTAGAAAGCTGTGAACCTAGTGAAGTATGTTAGTGACTCGGGCTAACTTTTTACATTTCTTATGGTGAATCCTAGTTCATACAAGGGCTTTTTATCCTTTATGCAGTATTTAAATATTTAAGAAAGAATTTGATTAATTCTCTGGGAAAGATGGTTAAAGGAAATCAATGGTTCCTTTTCTCAGCTACCCTTTTGTTCAACCACAACTATGTTTGTAAGAAATGAGAATTGAGTTCCAGCCAAGATGGAGGCATAGGTAGCTAACGCTTTGCTTCTTCACACAACCAAAGGCTAACAAGCAATTTAAAAACAAAAAAACAACCAGAAACTGCCAGAACATCATAGGGTATGGAAGTCCAACAACCAAGGTGTTAAAGAAGAAACATTCATCTGGCTGGTAGGAGGGGCAGAGACAGGAAGCCGGCATGGAGAGGACCCATGACAAGGCAGCAGCTAGGAATCCGGGTGGTCCCACATTAGCATGCGGGTAAACCGGGAGGAACAACTGGGGAGCGAGACAGACTGCGCTACCCAGGGTTCCAGTGCAGGGAATTAAAACCTCAGAACATCTGGCTGTAAAATCCTGTGGGGGTTGCAACTGCAAGAGACACTCCCAGTCTCACAGGAGAGTCTGTTGGAGGGGCCCACAGGATCCTAGAATATACACAAATCCACCCACCCAGGAATCGGCACCAGGGCAGCACCTGAAAGGGCACAATCTGTGGGAGGCCAGGGAAGTGACTGAAAGTGGTACAGGAGCTGAGCAAGCGGCATTGTTCTCTCTCTGAACCCTCTCCCCACATACAGTGCCACCACGCAGCAAGATGGATTGCCCCACCCAGGTGAATACTTAAGGCTCCACCCCTTAACATGTAACAGGTGAGCCAAGTAAAGGAAATATGGCCCAAATGAAAGAACAGATCAAAACTCCAGAAAAAGAACTAAGTGACAAGGAAATAGCCAACCTGTTAGATGCAGAATTCAAAACACTGGTGATCAGGATGCTCACAGAACTGACTGAGTATGGATGCAAAATAAAGGAAGATGTGAAGGCTATACAAAGCGAAATAAAAATATACAGGGAAGGAAACCTGGACTCATCAATGATTTGGAACAGAAGAAAAAAATACACATTCAACCAAAACAATGAAGAAACAAGAATTCAAAAAAAAAAAACAAAAAAAAACGCAAGAGGCTTAGGAACTTCTGGGATAACTTTAAACATTCCAACATCCAAATCATAGGGGTACCAGAAGGAGAAGAGGAAGAGCAAGAAATTGAAAGCTTATTTGAAAGAATATTGAAGAACTTCCCCAGTCTGGCCAAGGAAATAGATACGCAAGTCCAGGAAGCTGAGTCCCAAACAAGTTGGACCCAAAGAAGAGCACACCAAGACATTATAATAAAGTTACCCAAGATTAAAGCTAAGGAGACAATCTTAAAAAACAGCAAGAGAAAAGCAGAGTTACCTACAAAGATGTTCTCATAAGACTGTCAGCTGACTTCTCAAAAGAAACCTTACAGTCAAGAAGGGCCTGGCAAGAGATATTCAAAGTCATGAAAAGCAGGGAGCTACATCCAAGATTACTCTATCCAGCAAAGCTATCATTTGCAATGAAAGGGCAGATAAAGTGCTTCCCAGATAAGGTCAAGTTAAAGGAGTTCATTGTCATCAAGCCCTTATTATATGAAATGTTAAAGGGACTTATCTGAGAAAAAGATCAAAACTATGAACAGTAAAATGACAACAAACTCACAACTATCAACAACTGAATCTAAAAAACTAAACTAGAACAGGAACAGAATCATAGAGATGGAGATCACATGGAGGGCTATCAGCGGGGGGGAGGAGGGGAGAGAATAGGGGAAAAGGGTACAGGGAATAAGAATCATAATTGGTCGGTACAAATAGGGGGAGGTTAAGAATAGTATAGGAAATGGAGAAGCCAAAGAAGTTAAATGTATGACGCATGGATGTGAACTAAGGGATGGGGGGAAGCTGGAGGGATGAGGTGCAGGGTGGGGGGTATAAATGGGAGGAAGAAAATGGGACAACTGTAATAGCATAATCAATAAAATATATTAAATCTTTTTTTAATAGGGAGAATTCATTACTTCAGTCAAATTTGTGACCATAGGTGATTTTTTTAAAAACCTTTCTTTGAAGGAAGCAGTGCTAATTTAAAAGTATAGAAATAAAATGGGGGTTCAGAGGATGGAAACCAACCTTTATTGCCATATGTATTTTAGCAAGTAGAATAGGAATGTTTCAGAAGGAAATAACTCCATAATCTTACAGATTTTCCTGTTATACTCAGCCCCAAACCCCATATATGGATTGGTAAACTTTTTTCTGTTTTAGATCTTAGAGAACCATCCCAAGTTTCATAATTACCCACTATTTTTCTTTTCCAAGTGAAAAGGAGAAAAGAATTACAGTATAAAGCTTTGGGTACAGTGGTCATTGCAGTGTTTTTTTGTTTTCTTTTGCTTAATGGTGAACTTTAAATGGGGACTATCATAGACAAGATGGAACTGGTTTCCTCACCAACTAAGTGCCTGTCATTCACTAACTTTAAGCATGTGATTAACTGAAGTAGCTATTGGATCACTTGAACAGCAGGGGAAGTAAATGTGGCAACTTTATAATAACCTAGTAGAATTTTCTAAAAATTTTATGACTTAAGCATTTTTAGGAAAGCTAAATGGTAAATGCAGTTATGAAAGAAGTAATCAACCATCTACTTTGTTGAAAATGTAATAAAAAGGTTATTACAACAAAAGAGGCTTGAGAAGAGTTCATATAAGCAGTAAAAACATAAGTAATATGTAAGTGTGTGTGTGTGTGATCTTATTGCTGCTGAGAATGCAAATACCCTTACTTATCCACATGTTGATTGGTTATATATAAGCTGTATACCAGGTATGCACTTAAGTCCATCTAGCTGAAAAATGAATTTATCTGCCAGGAGCCATGGACAGAACAATTGAATGACTGGATCCATTAAGAAATTTACAATATCATACCAAATGAACACAAGAAACACCCAATCGTGATTAAATAACTAAAAATCACTTGAGAGAGAGTAAACAATTACAAAATAGAGATTGCTAGGAGAAAGCAGAATGGAAATACATCTATCTATAAAACTAGCAAGACAAAAACTAATCTCTTCCTTTGCAGCACTTACTTCACTATGGTAAGAATTGGTGTTTTAGAAGGAACACTGTTGGATAACTTAGAGAAAAAGGAATGAATTAATGCTAGAGAATATAAAATAATCAGATTTATCAGGAAGTGAGTTTCATGCTTATCTCCTAACGTCCTTCAATATCACGCCACCACCCTGATGAGTTTTGCAAAATTAAATGTACCAGTAAAGTACTTGGCTGCTTGCTTTACTAACTTTTTGAGGACTGTCATTTACTTTCTGGGTAAATGTAGCCTTCACTTAAATACACATTTTTATGCAGGAAAACTAATAAAAATTAAAAGTAAGGTAGTCTTATCAAACGTAAAAGCAGATTTTAAACAACAAACAAAAGGAGTGGAAGTCCATCAGTCTGTTTTTTAGGCCTGTTGAATTCCCAGTGCAGCACTATTCTGCTGAAATTAGTTGACAAAGGAAGATTATCATAGACAAAATAAATCCTAAAAGCTGGGGGGGAAAAATCCTTAGATTTTGTTTGTTACTTGTTCCAATTTCCTAACAGGCTTATTTCTAACACAAATACGTTTTAGGCTAAGCACCCTAAAGCATTCAGAAAACATTGTAAATAGAACATACAGAGTGATGTGTGCTTTTACATTTCAGGGCTTTCTAGGTTGATGAATTGTATATTGAGTCAACCTTTTCTAGAAAAGGTATTCACTTTTAAGTCCACAGAGAGCCAGAATTATTACTGTAATATCTCCTTTAAAGACATAAATAGAAAAAGCTCTATAGCAATGTAAGTTTTATATGGGTCTGGATATATCAGGTGTTATATTACGTAAATAACTACATAATTAACTAATAACATACTAATCTTACTCTTTGATGCTTGTATGATAAAACATTGTAGTTGTTAACCCATAGATGAAATAACAGCTGAGTTTAGTTCATATTCTATTTTTACTTTATATTTAAAAGGCAAAAAAGATTAGGGTTCTGTGACATAAAACATCTCAGGTTTTTATCTGAGGTGGAAAAAAGTAGTCCTTAAAAATAAACAATGTTATTTTTCCTACATTCCCTTTTTACTTACTGAACTACGGAGAAAGAGTGTTTGGGGAGTTCAAATAAGGAAATGAGTGCTCTGAAACAGTGCTACTTGATTTGCAGAAGAGCTGGCATGGGCCTTGTTATTGGTCCACAATGAGATAAATAGATTGATTGCATCCAAATCTAAATAAACTTCATCAATACATGGTTTTGTTCAATTACCTTTTTCATAGCAAGATTTTCATAAGGAGGAGAGCAGTGTGTTATTTGCACTGTGGTACAAGCTCTTTATCTCAGTGAGAACCAGTTTTAAATAGCATTCCTCCAAAACAGTACAAATTGTTTGATTCTACATTTTTTTAGAGCATTAAGGGAGTTTCATGTCCATGGTTTGGATTTTGGTTGGGGCAGGAAAAGCAGACTATATGAGCACAATGGGAAAGATAATTCAGAATATTTTAACTTTTCAAATGGTTCAAGGAATCAACATGTTTAC